TTCCGTCCCCTCCCTGCCCCCCTGAGTTTGCTCGGTTTCATGCTCATTGCTTCAGTGATGCTATCTAACCATCTCATCTCATTTTGCCCATAATCCTAAGGCTCCGGCTGGAAATGGAAAAGAAGAAAAGCCATTGACCCAAGAAAGACAATCCTTCCTGGGACAGACAGGGAAGCATCGGGCCCAAAACACTGAAATCAGTGTGATAGAGCTGAGCATTTCAAGCCAAGGAGGGAGTTTCCCACTGATAAGTTGAAACAGAAATGGAAAACTTCACCAGATGAAAAATGGCACAGGATGCATCTAAGCAGAGAGCCATTGACTTCTTTCCTTCCTCGGAGCAGGAGATGGCCAGATCTTTTCCTTCTCCCTCTCAGGAGATTACATCTGGTTGGAGATTTTTTAATAAGAAACAGCTGATTGCATCTAAAGAGCGCCAAGACTTGATGTTACCAAAAAACTACCAGCCAATATCATTACTGAACAAGGATTACAAGTTGTTTACAATTATTCTGACTGCAAAAATGCAAATAGCTTTTCAAGAATTTATTCATGAAGATCAAGGTGTTTTTTTACCTGAGAGATAGTTAAGAGATAACATTAGAAATGATTTGGAGATTTTGGAATATTTAGAACAACATAATGAAAAACAAGCTGCACTGATCTTCTTAGATGCAGAGAAGGCCTTTGACAATTTGAACTGGACTTTCTTTTTTAAAATTTTGGACTTTGGAGAGAATTGTATTAAATCAGTGAAATCTATTTATACTTTGCAAAAAGCACAAATAATTGTTATTGGAGAATTAACAAAACCTTGTAAGATACAAAAAAGGGACAAAACAAGGATGCCCTTTGTCTCCGCTGAGGATTTGGTGGTAATTTTGGAAGATCATTTGGAGGGAACAGAAATACTAATGGAAAAATTAAAGGAATTTGGTATTTTAGCAGCTTTTAAGATTAATAATCAAAAGACGAAGATGTTAACCAAAAATATGAAAATAAATGTCAGATACAACTGATGAGAAAAACTGGTTTTAAGGCTGAGAAAAACAAAATATTTGGGTATTAGTATAACCAATACTGTATGAACTCTATGTTATTTCAAAATAGTTTTGTTAAGGCATAGAATGAAATTAGGAAGGATATGTTAAGATGGGAGAAATTACAATTGTCATTGTTGGAGAGAATTTCTGTAACAAAAATGAGTGTTCTGCCTAGAATGATGTTTTTGTTTCAAACAAACCTGTTTTGACAATTAATGTACCATTTAAGCAATGGCAGAAGCATAGATCTAGGTTTATATGGCAAGGGAAAAAGCCACAAATTACATATAAAATTCTCCAAGATGCAAAGGAAAAAGGAGGATTGGGTCTGCCCGATCTGAAATGGTACTTTGCAGCCAGCTGTTTGGTTTGGATGAAAGAATGGGTGTTGCTGAGAAATAAGAGAATTTTAGAAATAGAAGATCACAACCTGAGGTTTGGAAGGCATGGATATTTGTGGTACAATAACGTTAAGGTTAATGTAGATTTTAAAAACCATGATGCTAGAAATGCCATATTGAGAATATGGAACAGATACAAACCCAGACCGTGCTTGAAAGCACCTTTATGGTGCTCAGCACAAGAAGCATTTTACAGAAGAGAAGCAGCAGGCAAAGACAAAGGGATAAGATGTCGAGAGCTATTAGAACATGGGCAAGGGGAATACCAAATGAAGTCAAGAGACCAACTGATGGCTGTCAATGGTTTCCATATTGAAAGATATCAGAAAGATTCAAGGTAGATAAAAGGACCTATGGTATTGAACAACATAAGACAGAA